TTCTCAGAGCCTGAGAGCGCAAACTGAATGGTAATAAAGTCGGTGAAAAAGACTGAAGTATAAGACACTGTTACTTCACCCTTTACAATATAAGCCTGTTAATGAGTAATTGCATTCATCTTTGGGACTATTTTTGAAACCTGCCTACACGCAGCTGCTTTTTTTTTTTTTTTTAGGGAAAACTTAATAACATCCCTTCTGAGTGAAAAGAGGTTTTTGTATCCGGTTGTAATTTGAAAAGGAACAACTAAGATTATACATTTTGGAGGAATGTAGGAAATAAACACCCATTTATTACTGGTTACAGAGTTCTATTTTTTTTTCAGAGTTCTATTTTTATACTACTAGTTAATATTTAGTATTCTCTGTGGAATGTTAAGATTGGCAGCATATTTATGCGTTAGTAGAAATTGGTATTTTATAACCATGGGATAAAAGATGCAAAAAAAATGGAAACATTTTAAATCATAATTTTCATTTTTGTAGCTTCCAATGTATTAAATATCCAACTTCTATGTTGATTCATTCTTAGAAAAATCAAAGAATAATATGATTAGAGTGCAGCTTCCTTTTACTTCATCTCTTATAAATATACAAATCAGCATCTGGCAATCAAAAAGAAACAATGGAAAGTAATGTACATTTTATATTTAAATTTTTAGGATAAAGAGTGGATTTTGAGATTTTTACAAATGTAACGTACCACAAAGTCAAAGATACATGCAGTGAAGTCCAACCTGGCAGCTGTACTTGACCATTTCCCAAATCCAAATATAATACTGTGTTTTAGTCTAAGTTTGTGTTCATCCTACCGTATAATCTAACAAATTCAGCCTGACAGACGTAACAGCATCTGCCCCCTGAGGCTCGACATCCCATTTTCATCACCCTGCCGATTTCATTGTGCTTTATCTGTATTTAATGCTTTCCCACGGAATTAAGACAAACGTTCCCGGACGGATCGACTAAGGACCATTTTCCCATCACATTTGGTTTATATAATGAAGTCAGTGTATGGCGCACTAAGACTTGCTCCATTTGCACAAGATGAATACCTTTTGTTGCAAAACACCTATAAATTAGTGTGATTATCTAAGGGTGTGCTACTCACTTTCACAAATTTACATCTTTTTATAAATTATGGCTGTACAATGACCTGTAAATATTCTCCACAAATCTCTTTAAGTTCTCTGTAAAATCATCTGGTAAGTGGCGCAAGGGAGCAGAGCTGCAACGCAGCAAACATATCACTGGTGTTGTGCAACATGATAATAGGAAGGGCACAGTGCGATTTTTACAGTGATGTTGTCATTTTTATGTTTCTTTCATACCTCTTACAAGTGCTGTCACAGTGCCATTTACAGTAGTATTATTTAAATTAAGAAAGGGTATGCATTAATGAAAACTATTAAACAAGACTGCAGGTGGGCTGGCACAGCAAAGAAAGGGATGCTGGTGCAAGAGAAGAATATACACTCTATGATTATGTGAAGAAAGGAATAATCCGCTGTGCTCAAGCCTGGAAAGATGAAATGGAATTCCTGAGAGGACAGGAAGAAGTTCTTCCAGACAAAGAGGGTTCAAACACAGACTCTAACGTAACTGAACACAGCGCTTGTGAGTACGGTTGAGCAAATCAAACAGGAGAACCACAAGGCTAGGGCAGAAGACTATGGGCTGGAGAGATAGCAAGGTGCAGATCACAAAAGGCCTTCTTTGTGGAGTTAAAATCTGTACAGATAGCAGGAAACCACTGAAAGTTATAATCAGGAAGAAGGGAGGGGGCTGATTTACATTGCAAAAAGATAAATCCAGTACAATTTAAGGACAGGAAAGGAGACTGTATGAGAGGCTATGGTAATTGAGGAGACATACAGGAAAAGTTAAGGGGATAGCACTGCATTAGAAAATTTTTCAGTAGAAAGAAGATAATTAGAGAAAAGGAAGGAAAGGGGAAAGGCAGAAGAAAAAGAGGACTGGCAATAAAAAATAACCAAAGTATGTTATATACACATGCAAATATACCAAAATGAAACTATTTTGTATGACTAATATACACTAATAAAATTTTAAATATAGTACATAAAAATTTAAAAGGAAGACAATTCTTAATTACAAAATGTAACACAAAACATTAAAGGGCAAGTAGCAGAGTGAAAGGAGAAACCTGTGTAAGAATTTCACAGCTCTTAATATGTGAAGTGCTCATCCAATTCAGTAGAATATTGAAATCTTATTATTTTTATGAAAACCCTTGAGGATAGTGGGTAATTCACATAATAAAAACAAATGAGTACTAAATATAAGAAGATGTTAAAACTTGCTGCTAATCATGAAAATATGACATTAAAGAAGAATGAAGGTTTTGAGGACCTGACAGTGGTAGAGGACCAGCCTAGTGCATGTGAGAAACCCCTCAGTATCAAGAAGCACAGAGAGAGAGAGAGAGAGAGAGAGAGAGAGAGAGTAGGAAGTACAGCTTTTTGTCATAGGATTATTAAAAATTTATGAGAGTTGGCAAGAGTGCACATAAAAGGGCTTTTATATAATATTAATGGAAGTATAAATTGATACAAAAATGTTTCACTACAAAGAACACGACCAGGTAAATCACCATCCTAGCTTGTCTCCAAACTTGAAATCATCTGTAATGTCTTAAAAATATATTCCTACAATCTATATAAGAATGGAAACAGAAATGTTAATGTGTTCGGTCTTTAACACCCCTCAACAAACAGTGCGGACAGCGTCTATCAAAACCACGCGTTTTCCTATCCATTCGCTTCCTTCTTCCAGAAAACCATGAAGAAATTCATGACCCGAACTTATGCCCTGGACATGATCATGAAATACAGAAGGCGTCTGAACTTTATTTAGGAAACAAAATTTATAGAATTTAGTGGCCTGGAATGTGGGCAGTGACAAGAGGGAGGAATCCATTATGACTTCATTTTGGGAGCTTGAGTGGGGCCATGTTAGAGGATAAAGACAATTAGTTCACCTTGGGGCTTGATGGATTTCAAGAATTAAAGATACATCAGAATTAAAATGTCTAGTACTGCACTGAAAATTAGGTGTGGATCTTGGGGCAGAGATTGACGAGTAATAATATTTGTTTGAAATTATTAGTTGATGAACACCTTGAATTTGATGAAATTATCAAGCAGTATACAACTAGTATGCTAGTATAGTAGAAAGGAGATCCAAGGGAGTACAGTAGGGATACCAGCGCTCAGACGGAGGGCAGAGGAGGGAGTATGACGGAAGTGTTTGACAGACAACTTCAGGACCCTTACCCAGGCTTAGACAAACAGGGTCTGTCCTGTCCTTCCCTCGGCCAGCAGGCCTGGACACTGTCTAATGGGGTTCAGGTGGGGGTTTCAGTCTGCGCTTCCAAGCCCCTGTCACTCCCAAGAATGGAGGTGAGATTGAAGGTCACCTGACACATCTTCTTTGTGTTGGAGATTGCATCTTTGTTTCCAGAAAAAGAGGGAGTGCCATTCATAAGGAAAGGTCTGAGTGGCCATACGGGTTCTTCACCCAGAGACCCTTGCTCCCCCAGATCCACATGCAAAGAAGCTGGCAGGAGAATAGCTACCTCTCTGCTCTCATGCATTGTTGAGGAATCTATGCCCTTTTGCATACATAAAGACAATAATCATATTAGTCCAATTGGATTCGTTCAATGCATATCATTTGTAAACCTCCTGGGAGAATATGGGGAACGCTTTTCTTTGTTTTCAGAAAATCTGATTGAAGCAGATCATACATATGTTTACAAAGGATAAAGAGCCAGATTAATTTAGGAGAAGCTACAGAGAGCATTAGTCACAGACATTATTTGCTAACCAAAGCCATCTGAAAAATCAAAATAAAAAACTGTCGCTGGATAGATGAAATTCATTAAAATATACCCTAACGTACAGAACTTACATAGTAAATCCTAAGGTAAATTTATTTATAAAATCAAAATCTACTCTACTCTGCTTAGATACTAAATCCTTGGGTAAATACAGTTATAAAATCAAACTCCAGTGTGAGAAAAAAAGAATAAACATATTAAAAACTAAGTATAAATTTAGGGAAAGTCAATTGGTATAAGCAACAGAAATAAAATCAGACAGTCTGACTATTCCTTTAGTCCTTTTTCTGCTCATGAAAAGAAAAAAAAATCCCATTTTTTGAATCTGAAATTCAGCATTTGCTGTTAAAATGACACTTAAAAACTAAAAATATTAGAATTAGAACTGTGCTTGTACATAGACCATTTAATTCGTTTTAATAAAGTCTAGTAGAACCGGGGATAGATAATCTCCATTTGCTGAGTCAGTGGAGAGACCCCTAAAATCTTCCGGTACACAGAGATGTTTGTTGTGATGCTCTCTTATTATACTTTTACTGAGTGCATGTGTCACATCTTCATGAAAAATAAAAGTATTTCTTATTTAAGAACATATCAAAACTTCATGCCCAACTGTATATTTTCCTTTTGGAACAAAAATATACAATATTTTTAACCCTTGTAAGCCAATAAAGGTTAAAGCTCAACAAGAGAAGACAATAGATTTTCATCTAAGCTGGTGACATTTAAAATCTCCATGTCCCCTCCACTTTCCAAATAAATGCAGCTCATAGCATGAAAGAAAGGAATCAGAAAGAAATAAAGACTAAAGGGGAAAAAAATTGAGGCAGGATGACAGGCTCATTAAAATGTGCACAAAACCATCTCCAGCTCCCTCGAGAAAGCTGTGACTGTGAAATAATCATGTTGATGACCATGGAAAGAACGGACCTCGATGGGGGTCTTATATTGCACCCAAGAAGTTGGTGATTATATCCTGGAAATGCGACCTGGAGAAAGGCTGGCTTCTTTGTTGCTTAATAGAGTTCACAGAAAATGCTTGTCTCCAAAATGAGATTTCTCCCCTATTCACCGTGCAGCATGGGGGCCTCCACAGGATGGGCAGGGGGCCATTTCTCCAAATGGGGGGGATACGAACCTCCGGGGGTGGGAGATTGTACACGATCGAGCTCAACCGATACAGGGAAAAGCCACGGCCTCCTGCTCCATTGTCAAACAGTCATAAAGGAAGGGCTGGGGAAGCATCTAGAATCTGGAAGAAATAAAGGATAATGGGTCAGACGGATCCATTTGCCTTAGTAATTATCCCATTTCCATCTCCAGGGCTACAAGTACTCCCTTGCTGCCTGAGCAGCCGATCTTACAGAGTGTTAATTCTTAATTAAAATCTTCGTTAGTGTTTCCATTCAAAAAATCGCATGTAGGCTTTAATTTGAAGACACAAACATGGCTTTCCGAGATGTGCTAGGTAGAATATCTTTCGTCTTGGCGCCGCTGGAAAGGCAGTGGGTGAAGCAGTGTCACTTCTGAGCGAAGCCTTTGGAAACTTCTTCAAGTTTGGGATGACAGATAGGGACAGTCTCAAGCTTCGTGATTTCTAGTTTAAGTATAATTGATATTTCTAAACGAAAAAGTAACAGACAGTGATACCTCGGCTCACAAATACTTCTGTTTGTGAACAATTCAGTTGGCAAACAGAGGCGCTGGCAAAATTTTGCCTCCATTAAAGAACTCTGCATCGAGTGATGGACACAACCAACCAAGACGTCCTCCTCAGAGTTATGGAAGGAATTGAGTTCGTGAACCGAGGCACCACTCTCTATGAATATACATATTGTAGGGGAAGTGGCAAGGGTAGGGGAAAGGAAATAAGGGGAAAGAAAAAATATGAGAAAAGGAAAGGCCAGGGATTTAGCTCAGTGGTGCTGCCGCCTGCCAAGTGCAGGAACCCAAGTTCAATCCCTGGTACCAAAAAAAAAAAGAAAGAAAGAAAGAGGAAAAAAATGCAAACAAAGTCTTTGTGAATGGGGGCGGAGGGGCGAAGGGAGGGCAGAAGTATGGAGAAAAATGAGAACCAAGAACTGTCATGTAAAGGAGCAAGATCCCAATGATAAATGTAACAGTACTGTATATTTTTAAAGCACCAATAAACTCAATAAAAAAGAATATGCATATTAATGTAAATCCATGAAAAAGGTTACAAAAACACTCCACTATTAATAATGGCTATTTTTAGAATGGGGTAAGCTAGAGTGGATTTAGAGGCAGAAATGAAGGGAGACTAACACTCTGGTCCTGAATATATTCCTTCGGAATATTTTCAAAAGAGTATATACATGTGCTACCTGTGCAAACTAATAAATGCATCTGAATAGGTGAAAAATGTGATCAGCCTAAACTAAATGATAGAATCATTCCCAGATGAAACGTTTATTGAAAGGAATTCTCAAGTTAGCATTCCAAGGAAGGTTCTGTCTTCAGCTACAGGTTCTTTGAGGTTAAGCCTATTTGACAGAATAATCATTTCCCCCATGATACAGTTTGGTTCTTTAAATGCCCTCTGAGCTGTGTTAAAGTTTTGATCTCCAACCTGGCACTATTGAGAGAGAGTAGAAATCTTTTTTTTTTTTTGCTACTGGAAATTGAATCCAGGGCCTTCACACCAACCTACCTACATCCCTTGTACTCTCCCCTGATACACTTTTTTTTTTTTTTTGGAAGGGCCTCACTGAGTTGCTAAACTGCCCAGGCTGAGCACAAACCTGTAATCCTCCTGCCTCGGCCACCCACTATGTGGGGATTACAAGTGTAGGCCACCATGCCTGGTGAAAATGGTCCAACTCTTCCAGAGGTACAGATTAGTGGGGTCTCAGGTCATTGGGTATAGTCTCGAAGGGGATTCTGGGAGCCCACCCCAGATCTCTCTCCCTGTCTCTGTCTCTGCCTCTACCCCCACCCCTTCTCTCTTTTTCTGCTTGCCTCACAGTCACAACTAGGTAAGCAGCTTCCTAAACCATGAGCTCCTACAATGATGTCCTCCCTGCCAGGAAATGGAATTTCCAAAATTATGAGCTAAAATAACCCTTCCTTTTAAGTTGATTGTCTGACGAGTTTTATTACAGCATCACAAAGCTGAATAACAAGCCCTGCATTCCCACGTTCCTGAGACAAAATTAAAAAGAGGTTTTCAAATGGTCTTTAACTCATCTCTGCATATGATATGACAACTTATTGAGCATAGTGGAACATGCCTATGACCCATCATCACCTTTGGACGTGGAGGCAGGAGGACGGTAAATTGCCCAGCCTGGGCAACTTAGTTGCTTACCAAGACTCTGTCTCAAAATAAAAATAAAAAGAGCCAGGATTATAAATCAGTGCAGAGGCTCTGGATTCAATCGTATTCATACGCATATGCGCGCGCGCACACACACACACACACACACACACACACACACACTACACACACATCACCATACCAACGTGTAAAACTGGCCCAACCTTGACCTGCTGATTGAGTTATCACCTAAATGGGTATGATCTCTGACGTGAATATATACCTTTCTGTATTAGTGGGGTAAGAGAAAAATAAATAACTTGTAAATGATATATTTCTTACATTAAAGCTTCCACAATCTTCCACTAACATAATGCACTGAATAGTTCAGGACATGTGGGAATTCAGAACAGCTCATTTCCTGTCATGAGATTGAAGGTTGCCTAGCAAATCTCATACACTTGGAAACATGAGCTAAGAAACAAAGTGAAAATATTCTTGATTGTGGATTTTCAGTCTGACAATTATGCTCTGGATTTGCATGCCCCGGTGTCAATATCTTCTGAAGTCCTACCCCTGAGGTCAGTGACATGCTGCTTGCCAAACGTGTCAAGAAATGTTAATAACTAAAGTCAGGCACCAGCGTCCATATCGTCCTCTCCCCAGTTTGAAGGAACAGATTTATGCCATGCAGAATGCTGCTTCTAGAACAGAGGGACAAATTGGCCCAAATGTCTAAAATCCTTTTAGCTGAATCCATTATACTAATACCTGACAATTATGAACTAAGTCTGATTTAAAATGCTTGGATGCTCTCCCTTAAAGGGAATAATTACTAAAAAGAAGGAATTTTATAAACCTGTTTCCCAGCATGTTGGTTGACAAGACACCCACTGGTTATAATGCAAACCATCAGGCAGAGCTTTTTATATTTAATGTTAAACAAATTACCCTTTATAAATGGCAGTTTGAGGACTGTTACTGTCAATCTCGCTTTCACTAGCTACATTTCCATTTCACAGAACATCTTAACTTTAGTGGAGGGAGGTATGGGCCCCTAAAAATGCAGAGTGATAATAATTCCAGAAGAAGAAAGGAAAATAATAAGACCCTCTCTGCTAAAACAGTGACGAGAAAGTATCCTTTATGCCAAATGCCCTCAAAGGATGACTCCTAAAACCCTGAGATGGCATTTCGCCCTGTACCTAGGACAAGAATATGGTGAGCAGTAAAGCTACAAGGATTTCACTTCCAGGGGAAGAGCTGATCTGCACTGTATGTGACATGCCTTACCTTGCAAATATACACACAGTGCTTAAAGCTATGAGGCACTGAGAGATCACATAATCTGACCTGTGGTAGAAATTTCCATCCAGACAGAAATTCAAACTCTAAGTAATTACTCTTAATAAGAGTCACTTACAGTCTTCAGAAACAATCTTTTGGATTGTTGGGCGCTCCCCCATCCCTTTTATTAAGAGGCACCATCCCTTTTATTAAGAGTGGGGGAGGCACCACTGACCTAAATTCCTGGCTCCAGATCTTAATCACAAGCCACAGTCTTTACCCTTTCAATAGCACCCTATTTCCCCTCCACAAAAACACACTTGAACTGGTTTTGAACCATAAGTCTCTTTCACCAAAGCAAAAACTCCATTGGCCTCTATTTTTTTTTTTTTTTTTTTTTTT